GTCACCAACGTCCAGGGCAACCAGTACCACGACACCCTCTGCACCTCCTGCAGGCTGGGGGGGAGCAACAGCACGCAGGGACCAGGTGAGCCGCGGCTCCGCGGGGTTCGGGGGGATGCCGGGACCACCACGCTGGCAGGGATGTATGGAAAAAGTATGGAGGGATGTGTAATGAACAGCAATTCTGGATAAAATACAGACTGTCTGCCTTCCTCCCTCTCCAGGGTGGGTCCTGTAGGGCAGGGACGGGGGACAGGGCTCAGCTGAAGCCCCCCCGGCTCCTCGTTCAGCCAAAACTGAGCTGGTGGTGGAAGGGCTGGAACAGGCTGCCCAGAGAAGCTGTGGATGCCCCATCCCTGGAGGGGTTCAAGGCCAGGCTGGATGAGCCTTTGGGCAGCTAGTGGGAGGTGTCCCTGCCCATGGCAGGGGGTGGCACTGGATGGGCTTTAGGGTCCCTTCCCACCCAAACCATCCTGGGATTCCATGAAATCCTCCTGGCTCTTACCAGGGACTGGGATAACTGGTGCTGCTGGGACACGGGGACAGTTTGGCAGCTGCTGGGGTGTAACTGGCAGCTTGTGGTGGTAACTGGTGGCAGCAGTTGTGCAAACAGCCGCGGTGTGAAAGGCTGGGCACCCGCCTCGGCTCCGGCGTGCCTGCGGTGATCCCGGGCTCCCAGCCTGTTTTCCAGGAAACTTTTGTTGCAGCCGCAGCCTTGGCTGGTGCAGGTTGAACGGGACAGAGTCCAAGGTTCATTGGAGCTGAGTGTAGGGTGGATTCTGACCTGTCGGGTGAAAAAGTAGAGACGTGGTGTCAGCTGTGTCACCGTGATGATGCAAACACGGCGCTGAGGCTGGAGGTTGGGCAGGAGCTGCCAGCGCACAGGTCGTGGAACCATGGAACAGTGGGACGCCAGGCTGGAAGGGAGCTCAAGGATCGTCCGGTCCAACCTTTCCTGGGAAAAGCACAGGGCAAAGGATGGGCTGGCTCCAGGGGTGCTTTGTAACATGCACCCCAATGAGTCAGGGGGTGAGAAAGGGTCTGGAAACCATCTCCAGGGCTGGTGTCTGTTGAGGTGGAACCACCCGCCCTACCCTGAGCATCCAGCCAAGGCACACGGGAGAGAAATTGCACGTGACTGATCTGGGTGGCAGTGACCCTGCACCTGTGAATTTCCAAAACCAACCAGCCATAGAGCCACGGAACAGCCCTAGCTGGATGGGACTGTGACAGTTCCCCTGGTCCAGCCTTTGATGGGGAAGGGAACCTGGATGGGGTCATCCAGCACCATGTCCAGCCATGTCCTGCGATGGGGACTGCACCGCCTCCCTGGGGAAATTGTTCCAGTATAAAAAAGAAATAATTATTTTATCAAGATGAAGTTTTGATAGAAGAGCTTCAACGAAGCTGGGCTGGTGGGAGGTGTCCCTGCCCATGGCAGGGGTTGGAACTCAATGATCTTTAAGGTCCCTTCCAACCGAAACCATCCTGTGATTCTATGAAGGCTTCTCCTCTGCGGTGACGCAGGAGGAGGCTCATCCCCACCGCAGTGTGTGAGCAGAGCTCTTCCCTTCCCATCCCCTCCGGCCCCGCCAACACGGGGTATTTCTCCTTCCAAAGCCTGACTCACGCCACCAGCTCCTTGCCAGGAGCACGATCCCTCCGGAGAGAGGAGATGGCAATCTCTGCGTCAGCGGGACGCGGTCCCGGGGAGGGCTGACGGGCAGGTGAGAGCAGCATCAGCGGCACGTGCGTTAGGGAACGGCCCCCGCGGCCAGCCCGGCGGTCAGCTATTTATAGAGCTGGTGAGCAACGGGAGCCCAGGGGTGTCTGAACTCTGTTTCATCATGATTCCACTCCAGAGGCACGTGGGCGCCTGCCCTCCTCCTGCTGCAACCGCGGGAGCGGCTCGATAGAAACCCCGAGTTCACAGGAGAGGCAGAGCCTGGGCGAGGGAGCCCGACCCATCCACCGGAACCAGTGGGACCCTTCCCAGTTGCAATGGTGGTAAACTGGGCTGGGCCGTCCTTGACAGAGGAATCACTTGGCCTTGATCTCTTGAAAACTCTCTGAAGTTTCATTCCTTAGGCTGGACGCGCTCCAGCAGCACTTTAACCAGCTGGAACTGGGTCTGTCCAAGAGCTTTCATCTGTCCCCAGATGTAAAAATCTGCCTGGGGAAAGAGAAACTTTCCGGAAGAATGATGTGTGTAAATACTTACTGCGATTACTTTCGTTTTTTTCTGGAGTTTCCCTCTTCCCCTACTCCCCAGCAGGGAGGAGCATGGAAAAGGCATATTTACATTTTTCAGCATTACAGGAATTTTTACTCATTGTTTTCTAACCCCCCTGCAGAGGATGGACCACTGCTGGGAAACGCAGCCGGTGGCCAGGGCTGGACCGTCTACTGGCCATGGGCAGGGACAACTCCCACCAGCCCAGGTTGCCCAAAGCCTGGCCTTGAACCCCTCCAGGGACAGGACACCCATGATCCATGGGCAGACGTCCCTCGGAGCAGCTCTGCGGGGCTGTGACCTGCTCTCCCGGTGTCCCTTGGTCACCTTCCCTCTAACCTCCGGGCGGTCTTTCTCCCACCAGCTCTAGGAGCCGACGACTGTGAGCAAGCCATGATTGACTTTGTGGCGTACCACCAGAACATCCCCATCAGGAAGCTGAAGCGCCTGCAGCAGATCCTGGAGCACTCGCCGAGGAAGCAGCTGCCGGCAACCAGGGCGGCCATCCAGGAGAAGTTCCGGGCGTTCCTCACCCACCTGAAGGAGGGACACTACGAGGTCACCAAGGAGCTTCTGGACGCCCTGCGAGCCACCAAGCTGCACTCCATCGAGGAGAAGGTCCGCGAGCGCTTCCTCCTCTACTGACAACACAAACTGAACTTTTCGGGTGGTTTTTTGTTTTGATTTTTTTTTCTACTGTGGCTTCATTAATTTATTAATCTTTCCAAACTTGAAATGCAAGCGTTACAATGAGCGATGGGTCAGAGCCGAAGCGTGCCGTGGCAGCTGCGGTGGGTCCTGCTCCGTTCGCTGATGCCGGGAGCAGGATGCTGGGAGCAGCAGCAGCATCCCTGTGCCAGCGGCCGGGGCAGCTCCTGGGATCTCCCTGGGTGCCGGCTGCTGATTTTCCAGCACTCTGCAAGGGTCAATAATTTATCAGAAGAGAAACCTGTGGCCAGGGTCATTTTTTCTGGGGAAGAATCCAGCTCCCCCTTTTTAGACAACTGTCCAGCTTTGTTTAAAACTGTGGTTTTGCTTTTGTTGGGGTTTGGTTTAGTTGTTGATCAGTATTTCCCGCAAAGGATTCCCTTGCGTTCGTTGGTCCCGCTTTGGTTTGGAGAAGGGAGTTTACTGCTGAGACCGGAGTTGGGTGCAGGGTGCCCCTGAAGTCACTGGTAGAACTGGCTTTAAGTTTATTTCTGAACTACCTGGTTTTGTATTGTGTGTGTGAGATGTTTTATAAAGAAAAGAAAAAGAAAGAAGTTATTTTACGATACGATCCTCTGTCACCGGAGTCCTTTCCTCGTCTCCTTTGCAGAGCGGTTATGAGTCCCAGACCATTGTCTCCTGCCTCCGATTTCCCTCGCCGGCGTTTTGCGTGTCCCTCACCCCCTGGTCCCCTATCACCCGCCACCCACGTGACACACATCATCCCACCCGTGTCACCCCGAGCCCTGCGGCTGTCCCCAGACCCCACCGAGGTGCTCAGCCGGGGTCTGTGCCTTGGGGCACTGGTGCTGGCTGCTGTTTTGTTGGGTTTTTTTAAGCCTCGCAGATGTCCCTTAGGGAAGTCACCCTCTGGGCAGTTTCCAGCCTGATGGCACAGAGCCCGCGTCTCCTGCCTTGAAAGAGTTTGGGTTTTATAGTTTCTTTAGCTGACACCTTCCCAGGAAGTCTGTGGCTCAACAGCTTTTCCCCCAGCGAGGAGCTGCGAAAGCACTCGGACACACATGCCACGTGGAAGTGTCCCCATGTGTCCTCGTGCGAGGGAGGGTGACACAGCCGGGGCCGGCGGGGCTGTAACCTCCCCC